AAAATACTTAGGAAATCATGGTGCCAAAAACTGTAGTTTTGAATCCCAATATGTGTTTTGATTTGGAAGGCTTATTTTGATATTTTTTTTTAAATTTCACCCCAGAAACTTTCGTAGATATTTGTCGCGACTACGCAACATATGCGTTTGCATCGAAGCCACAGCGACCTGAAGGATGGCATTCATCTTCATCAGAATAAACCCTGTATAATAATTATATGCGACGTCTATGTAAAATGCTGTGAGGTGAAAACTCTATGCATTAACCACGATTCATGTGATTGAGTTCATACGAATAATTATCATTAAAAATGGTAATCATGGGTAATAAGGGTAATCAGGGGGTAATGAAGGGTAGAGGGGAAATCATTATAAATATCGAGTCCCAGGAAACTGGGATTAGATCCAAGTTTATTTTGTTTGCTTAGCTATTATCTCGGAGTCCTTACGAAGGAAGGAATAAACAAGCTTTTGTGTTAAGAAATACTGAAGCAAAGAGTATCTTATTTTCTCCCTGCATTTGTGCCAAAGAGTAGCTGAGAATATTGCATAATAAATTTAAGAGAAATCTTTTCAAAATCTTCCTGATTCAGAATATTGTCCCTTGACCCCTATATATTGAAAAGTTTCATCTATGCTTAAAAAGCGTGCATGGAATTTGGATGAAGGGCCTTAGAGGTATGAATTTGAAGTAGATAAGTAACGCAACCAGTTTCTTTAAAAAGTTTTTTTTCCTCCTTGGTTAGGATCAGACTAAAAAGACAAGATTATCCTGGCCTCTCAACTCATTCTCTACTCTTGCTAATGCCCTTTCGTACCATCTGTAAATAGACGAGAGATTAAAAACAAATATTTACTGAAAATGTGTTTTAACGCTGAGTATTTTTCAAAGGTTCTGCGTACTTCGCATCCTTCCTTCTCATGCTTGAAGTGTCAAAAAGATTTAAAGAAAAAAAAAAAACCCGCCAAATTATATTTTAACATAAAACGTCAAAGCACTTTTTTTGTGTTTTTTCATTTTTTTAAAAAAATTGTTTACTTCTGTAAGGCACTGGATTCTTTTTATGTAGGTTTTTTGGTGGCGACTTAAATGTCTTGTATGTATGTATGATTTTCCTAGCTGGGAAAAAAAAAAGGTGTAAAGAAAATCCGAGTTCTAGTGTTTTTGACTCATTTTATTTCTGGAGACAGAATTCAATCAAATAAAGTGCTTCCACTTGAAAGCGAGCGAAGGCTTGAGCTACAGTTTGTGCACATTCAGTGTGGATTTATTTTAGAAAAGAAAGGTAGGAAATTAGGAAGGAAACAATTACAAACTTCGCACATATGTATTTGCAACGGAATACATCGGACCAGAATTTCCGATGCTAAGAAAAGTGAGAGGGAAGTGAATCATATCTAATTTTACCTTCTTTTGACAAAGGTTGTCAAAGCAAATCATTAGCAGTTGTTAAGTGAATCAGGCAGTATGTCATGGTTACATTCTTCCCTTCCTTCCTTCCCTTTCTTTTTCATTTCTTTCCTTCCTTCGTCCTTCTCCCTTTCTTTTCCTCCCTCCCTTCCTCCCACTCTCCTTCCTTCATTTTCCCTCCCTCCCTCTTCTCCCTTTCCTTTCCTTCCTTGCTTCTTCCCTCCCTCCCACTCTTCTTTCATTATCCCTCTCTCCTTCTCCCTTTTCTTTCTCCCTTATTTCCTTTCCTTGCTTTCTCCCTCCCGCCACTCTTTCACTTTCAATTATCCCTCCCTCCCTCTCCCTTTTCTCATTCTCCCTTCTTTCCTTTCCTCCCTCCCTCCCACTCTTCTCCCTTCTCATTTTCACTATCCCTCCCTCTCCTCCTCCCTTTCTCATTCTGATGTTTTTTAAAACCGCCTCCTCCGGTTTATGGAGCAGACAAAGCTGCAAGTTCATTTGGTTTTAGGATATGTAATAAGAGCTTGAAGAATTTCCAGACTGGGGAAGGAGGAAGGACAGAAAAGGGAATCTGTGGTTAATCAACCAATGCCAAGAGCAAGTGGATCCTTTGCTAGTTCTCCCAGCCACTCCAAGACCTGCTTGATATTCTGGCTGAAGCAAAAGATCCCCAAGCAGAAGAGATCACTTTTCGTCTTTCTCCTGTTGCAATTGGGTGGGCTTCCTACCAAAAAAGGCGGGGGGGGCTAATTTTGTCAGGGCTGCAGGGAAGGATTGGTTTAAAAAAAGAAAGAAAAATCACCCCAGCCAGCCATGAATGATTAACCCCCAGAAGGAAAACTCTTGTGATGCCAAGCAGAGCTCAGAACAGCTGATCCAGTCACTCTGGGATGCTACAAGAACCATAAAATGCAAAAAAAAGGTTAAGTCCCTTTTTTCAGTGCCGTTAACTTCGAACGGTCATTAAATTGAGGACTACTTAAATATTATTATTATTATTTGAATGGTCGCTAAGTTGAGGACTACTTATATATTATTATTTGGGCGCGCACGCTTGCCCTAGGATTTTAAATATGCAGTCCTCGGTTAGTTCCCATGCTCCCAGACCTTCTCAGCCTAAGTAAATCCAGGCTGGGCCTGAGGAGTTAAAATTACACCCCTTCCCTTTCATTTTTTTTTCTTTTCTTTTATAGGGCTGACCCTTGGCTACAGGCTCAGGGGATAATAGTAGCCCACCCAGCTCAGATCGAAGCAAAGCCAACTCAACAGTCTTTTTGAATGCGAGTGAGTTTTATTGGTCGATGTTCTTGGCAGGAAAAAAATAAAATAAAAATCAAATCCATTTTGGGCACCGGGATGAATCGTCCGAGGTCCAAGTCTCCAACAAAATAGATCCAGGCCGGACGATGAAAAACAAGGCCACCCTGGAAGGACTGTGGGAGGGGAGGAAGCAGCAAAAACAGGTGGCCTCCAGCCATTGAGTCACCTGGCCAGGATTTCTCTCTCTGGGTGGGTCCTCAACCCAGCCTTTGCCATTGACGTTTCGTCTTAAAAAGCCGATTCTCCCAAGTTCACATTATATTCTGCATCTGTTCCTCCTCCGTGGCTGCTACTCCTTTCTCCAGAAAAATCATTATTATTAATAATAATAAACTGGCTGGTTGAGGGCGATGCCATTCCAAAAAGTGAGGTTGTGGGGAGGTGTGAGTTTGGGGAGAAAGGTGTTGAGTGACAAATCCCTTAAGAATCTCTTCTCTCGGATTAAGCAACCGGGCTCTGTCGAAGAAGCGAGAAGCGGAGACGTCCCAAGAGGCCAGCTCTTCATTCACGTCCGAAGTGGGATGGCCATTGGCCTAACGGAAGAACTCCCTTAAGCTCCGTCTTGCCCTAAGCATCGCCCGGGTGGATGAGAAAAGTCACGAGGAGGAATTTTTTGCAGGAATTATTCCCTCATTTTGGGTGGGTGGGTGGGTGGTTTCTGGCTGCAGCCATTTGGGTGTGCAAGGAACCCCTGGATGAAAATTTCAAGCGTGTCTGTGCTTCGTTTTAGGGGTACCAGTGTTAGCAGTTTGTGCCGGGCAATACTTGGGAGGGGACAGAGACGAGAAGAACCAAGGACAATCCACGCCTTGCAAATAAATAGATAAATAGTAGGGAATTGGGGTGTGTGTGTGTTTTCCACCCAACCCTTTTGATCCGTACAAGGGAAGGGAGGAATATATATATATATATATTTGATGTGCCACCAAAGGAAGAAAAAAAGCCAAACTCTATTGCCCATGTATTCCTTTCAGGTGATGAAGGTTCCTTCCAGGTGGCTTCAAAATGTCTCCTGCATGTGCCCCCTCCCCTACCATCCAGGTAAAAATTCAGGAGAGGAACCGAAAGGAGAACCAAGACAATGGGGCGCTTCTCCTTGGTACCCCAAGAACAGCTGAAGCCACAAAAAGGCCAGCAAGGTGACGAAGGAGAATGGTTATGACACCGGCTCCTTCCAGCCCAAAACTTGTCCAAAAGAATCCTTTCCCGGCTTCTGCAGGGGATGGGATGAGAAAGCAGGAAATGAAAAACCGAAGCAGGTGCGCATCCTGGCCTGGAACGGGACGATTTTGGGACAAAGGTAGGCAGGTGGGAGGCTGCGCCCCCCCCCACCCGGTCAAAGAGGGAGGGAAAAGCGACCGAGCCTCAAATTAAGATGGGTGCCCAAGGGGCTTGCTGGGGACAGGGCAGCGGGTGGTAGTGGTGAGAGCAGCGGCTGGATGTGTGTTGACTTCCAAAATGCAGGAGGAGTTTGACGGGGGAGCCGACCTAAGGAAAGGAAAGGAAAGGAAAGGAAAGGAAAGGAAAGGAAAGGAAAGGAAAGGAAAGGAAAGGAAAGGAAAGGAAAGGAAAGGAAAGGAAAGGAAGGAAAAGTCAAGAACAATTAACACTACCACCACAACCACTACTACCACCACTTACTACCACCACCGAGTCCAACATTTCTGTTGCTAAGGGACGTGGCCGTTAAGTGACTTTTGCCCCGTTTTACGACTGTCCTCGCCACCGCTGTTAAGTGAATAACCGCGGCTGACAAGTCTCACAAGGACTAATTTCTGGCGGAGTTTGTGGGAGAGAAAGAAAGACTTCTGCTGCTTCTGCTGTTTTCCTTGCATGGAGCCAAAAGTCTCTCTCTTTCCCCCTGAGAAATGAGCTGGAGACAGTATCCTGCGATCCCAAATAAAGAATGATCGATCGGTAGGAAAACGGGGGTGGGGAATTTTCCTGCAGACCTTTTTGGGGGGATTTTCCCAGGGTCTCTGGGATTTAAAATGATGTGTTTGGCGGTCCTGGAGGTCCAAAAGGTTGGGCGACCCCTGCTCCAGACAGATTTACCTGAATGTGTCCCTCGTTTTAAACAGCCCTGGTCTCGGCTTCGATCTTCTGCTCCCCGTGGAGGCTTTCCACCTCCTGCACCTGGGCCACGTTTTGCCGGATGGCGATCTCGGGGCCTCCGCCATAGAGCGTGCTCAAGTAAATCCAGGTCTCCTCCGAGATCTGCCCGTAATCGGCTCCTGGGGAAAGACGCGAGAGCCCGATCGAGGGAGCATCCAAACTCAAGACCTCAAGCACTGATCAAAGGCAGGTTGGGTTTTCTCCGCTCTTGGACTGGCCCGATGGGAGACCGGTGGGCTGGTGGACAAGTCGATGTTCCCTTTCCGTACTTACCCTGTTTGACTTGCATGTGGCCGCTTCCTTTGGCCACGGCAATTTTGGTGTTGTCGATCGGGCCAGGGGGCTCTGTGGAAAATAAAAA